TTCTGTGTGGCTGATGAACAAGAGAACAAATTAAAAGTTAAAGAAAAATATGTTTGAAAAAAGTTACAGCGACATTGTACTTTAAATATTTAAGAGAACCAAGATCAGATATAGACCAAGAGGTGGGTCAAAAGAGAATATAACCCCCTTCTTTTCCAGGCGTTCCTTTCCCCCTGTTCTTTGGCAAGAGCACGTTCTCTTTAGCATGGTCCACATCAGACACATGCTTGCCCCTAGACATGGGCAGCTACATCACAGCACTATCTGGTCTCTCTCTCCATTCAGGCTCATGGGTTTGTGGAGTATGTTTTTCCAAAGTTAAGCATCAACGGGCACATGCTGTCAGGGCACTGACTAAAATGTAAATGAACTTAATTGGTTTGGAAATGGAAGTCTGCCAATGTGCATGTTTGTGAATGGATTCATGCGCAGAACTTTTCTGAGGCAAGTTTCAAACAACAAATTGTTGGAAGCCATAGTACAAAAACCATTGCTCAAAACATTCCCTAGCATCCAGAAAAAAGATGAAGATGTTTCTGAAGTACTTGCCTAATACGAAAGTCTGGCTATCAAGGAGCATCTTATGGTGGAAATGTGTCTGATGATATTTATAAAAAATGCAGAGAGATTTTGAGGTAAATAGAATTCATGCACTTCCCAAATAGACACGCCTTTCTCAAATGAGAAATACAAAATTGTCCAAAATTCCATATCTTGAAAGAGTAGTTTTAAATAGAAAACCATGAGGAAACAGGATACTTTCTTTCAGTTACGAAATTTTATCAAGACTATGAAGACGACATTAAGGACAGAGGTCAGTAAAGGAAGATCACTAGGAGTGAAATGGTAACTCCATTGAAGTCGCTGGAAGACTTCCCACTGATCAGAAGGGGGGGTGTGAGCAAGAGGATTTTCTTGACATTTTTGAGTTTACCCAGATTAAGAACAGGACTGGCAAAAGCATGATGCTGCATGTCCAGATGAATATTCAGAAAGATGTCCTGTTCTGTGCAAATGCGTAGCATTTGAAGACAAGCTGCAATTACCAGTTCAGAAAGAGAGTTGCCGAACAACTGCTTGTAGTTCGAGATGATTTTTCTCTTCCTTCATACCAGAGACCACTGAGAACATTGTTTACAATGTTGGCAATTAACGTTGTCCCAGCAGAGTGAATATATCTCCTTCTGCCTCTAAAAACATAGGCAGTCTTTGAATTTGTCACCGGTTCTACATCTTTAAATAATACATATGTGAAGTGCAACTCTGGTCTGATGACACATCCATCCTTCAGTACCCATTTTCCTTCCCAACCAGGTTTCCATGGCAGGAATATGAAGAAACTCCTAGTCTGCAGAACTGTCTTTTAATGTTTTGTATTCTTAAACAAAACTTCCTATAAAAAGGTAATATGAGAGACATATCCAGTCTAACATGCAAAGGGTCTGGGAAGCTCCATTTGACTGCTCTTCTACAGATGATTTCAGCCTTCACATAACAACGAATCTCTTGTAATTGCTCAACTGAGTGACTGTCAGAAGTGAGGAAATGAAGCAATATGCTTTTTGTGTCAATTTATATGGCATAGTGATTGCTTTTTAGCAATTATGGCAGTAAATGTAATTAAATACTTTTTTTTATAATGAAGTATTTTTTGGTCAAATTACTGGCAATTAAAATATTTTGTGTTTCTGTTTAAGTATTTATTGTATTATGAAGTACAATATGTGAGGTTGTTTAATTTATTAGTAAAATAGAAAAAATGGAGACTATAATTTGTACAACTGTTAGTAGAATTAGCTTCTTTGCTTTTGAGACTTCAGATGTTTCACGTGATTATTTTAGGGCTATAAAACATACATTTTCTGTAAAGATTTTGGGAGTGACTTAGAATTTGAAATAGTTAAATGGAAAGACAGAAAAAAAGCTTAGAGAATGTTGAAGTACAGGAGTAGGTGTTGAAAGGAGACACCAGGTTATTTGAAGGCTTGAAAAATGTCTTGCAGTGAAAAACTTAGAATAGAATTGGCTAGAAATGCTTTGATGGACTGTTTTTCAGCTGATAGTATCTATTCATCAAATTGAAACTCTGCTGGAAGGGATCAATTTTCATATTTCTGGTTTTGAATTGTTTCCAGCAGTTTCAACGGTGTTAAAACATCCCGTTTCAACATTTTCTAAATGAAAAAAAAATACAATTTTCAGTTCTAAAAGCCTTCCTCTCAAAATGGAACCTAATTATGCCAACCATCGCTAAACTGAGCTGGAAATATTGCAAATGACCCAAAATTGAATTGCTTGTTGTTTTCTTTTTTTTTAATTTCTGATAGATCATCAACATTTTCAAGAGTTCTACTTTTTTCAGGCTTTGAGAATGGAAAAATATTTTGCCCAGCTTGATTGAAAATTCAGCTGGTTCAATTTGTCAAAAAAGTTCCTTCAGTGGGGCATACCTCTGGATTAGTATTTTAAATTCACTTCTGACCATTCTCTGGCACTGAGGCCAATTTGTGTGTAAGAGCCTCTCTCCACGCTATTAATGTCTGTCATCTGCTGAAACAGAAAGGCCACATCCAAACCACCTATTAAGAATGATCATTGGCCTACTCTAATTCCTGATCCATCCCCTCCCAGCCTGGGAGGGGATAGACTGGCCCAGTTTAAAACCGTTCCAGGGACTGGTATAGGCAATTGAGTTTCAAGTCCTGGGTTTGTTTCCTGGCACAGTCTCTTTTATCTATATTTTGTATAGGCATGTCTTATGAAGCGTATCGTATCTTTTAATCTCTCATACAAAGACATGAAAGAAGCAGTGACTGTAAATTAGAACTACAAAAATACAAATCAGAAATACAAATTTGCAATGATGTGATTAACCTTTGAAACGAGCTGTAAACTCAGCATCTCTTAATGTCTTCTCTTGTCAAGATAGGACAGTCTGCTGCAGAACATGCACAAGCCAAGTGAAAATTACTGGGCTCAGGAAGGATATCAGGGTAAACAGTAGGTTAAACCAAATAGCCTAATAATCCCTACTGGGGATAAATTATCTAGAAAAGTCATATGCAAAAGTATCGTTTGCTTCTTGTGTTACATTATTATTAGATATAATTACGCATCCATTCATTTTATGGAAGCATCTTTAATCAGAATTTGCCGTATGAATTTCTCATTAAGCTGACATGCATATTCCAAGGGCTACATTTTGGTATTTAACTACAGGCAGAAAAGGAGGACACCTGTCTCAAGACTGGCAGGAAATGGTCAAGGAGGCATACTTCTGTTCAAGGCAGGGCAGCAGCTTGTGCCAAACTCTTAAAATCAAGAAGCACATCCTCTGCCAATTCCCCCGTGACACTGGCCAGGACATATATGAAGTAAGATTGAGCAGAACAGTATCTTTTGAATCTCCAGACTACAAACATTTTCTATTTGCTTTTGCTGTTCTCACGCATTTTCATGTTGAATGGGCCTTGAGTTCAGTGTTTGTTACCGAGAAATGTATCTGGATATTACATATTAATAAAGAAAATGTTCCCGAATTTTCTACTGGAATCTTCGTCTCTCAAAGGGGCCTGTGAGGTACATACTGTTCCATGGAGCTAATACATACCTAGAGGACTGTTTTTCTTCCTGTGATCGTCTAGAAAAAATACGCTTAAACTCTCATTGCACTTTTTCACTGGTTCAGTTCATAGCTGTAGACTGGAGCTATGGATACAAAATATTAGCTGTTAAACTGTCAAAACTTGTTGTAATAAGCAGCAGCAGCCATTACTTGAGGGACATTTAAGCAGGGTTTATTGAATACTTTTAAGGCATACAAAAGGATCTTTTCAAAGGAAAGGGATTTTTTTGGTTATATTTTATAATTTTACATGATACTGGAAAAATCAAACTGAAACATGTCACATAGAATAAAACTCCTAATTAGGGCTCAACTGGCATTTCTGGTGATCCACCATCTCCTAAAATACAAGTCTGTTCACAGAATTTCGTTGGTATGAAATCTCTTCTTCTACCTTTGGCCGTGCTATTGGATATGCTAACTAATTGTGGCAGAAAAAGTCAAATACAGGGCAGCAAGGGTAGCTAAGTGTACAGTATGTTCCCTGTACAACTCAGGGCGTTGTATAGTGCGCTCTGAAGCTAGCTGCATTTTCAGAGCAGAATTTTAGATACCAATGTATATGTGCTGTCTTGGTCTAACACAGTCTTGATCCAGAGCTTAGGATTTAACTCTAGAAATTTCTTATTTATGACAGACTATATCCTGTCCCTATTTATGCCACTTAAATGTTAGGTTTTAACATGTTTCTGAGAAAGTTAGCACACAGAGTCAAAAGTTTGGCAAGTCCTGAAGAAATTTGTATTTGCCTGGTGGTTTAGAACTGGTCTATCTTCATGTGCACTTATAGAAAAAGTTGACTGTGTTTAACTTTTTCAGCAAGATGTGTTCTTGAGCAGACACCCTTTGACAACAATGGCTGGGAGTATTTGGACCATTTGGGTAATCCCTCACTTCCTGAGGAGTCTGACTGAGTGCGTGGCTAGGGGTACAGATACTGGCCCCTGGCCTGAACAACGATTAATGGAGTATTTGTGACATAGATACTAGAGAATGATAATATTTTAAAGGTACAGGCGTAGATATCAAAAAGGAAAAAAAAAAGATTAAATATGACTTTAAAGCTCTACGCGAGATAATGATCAAAATGCTTCTATCATCTCCTTACCTGTGTCATTTTTAATTTTTTTTTTCTCTCCATTTTTGTCTGTCATGATGATCTTTGTTTCTAATTCCTTGCAGACATCTCAGTCAGTCTGTTAGCAGTAGTCGTCAGCTTCTGTGGGCTCGCCTTGCTGGTAGTCTCGCTTTTTGTCTTTTGGAAGTTGTGTTGGCCCTGCTGGAGAAGCAAACCTCTCACTTCCAATGCCAGTAATGTCCCTCAGAGCAACTCCAGTGCTCCTACGGAGGTGTTTGAGACCAGTGAGAAAAAGGAAGTTAAAGAAAATGGGAAACCTACAACAAAGGTACTTGAAGCTGCGTTGAAAATTAGCCACACTTCACCTGATATAGGCATGTCTTATGAAGCGTATCGTATCTTTTAATCTCTCATACAAAGACATGAAAGAAGCAGTGACTGTAAATTAGAACTACAAAAATACAAATCAGAAATACAAATTTGCAATGATGTGATTAACCTTTGAAACGAGCTGTAAACTCAGCATCTCTTAATGTCTTCTCTTGTCAAGATAGGACAGTCTGCTGCAGAACATGCACAAGCCAAGTGAAAATTACTGGGCTCAGGAAGGATATCAGGGTAAACAGTAGGTTAAACCAAATAGCCTAATAATCCCTACTGGGGATAAATTATCTAGAAAAGTCATATGCAAAAGTATCGTTTGCTTCTTGTGTTACATTATTATTAGATATAATTACGCATCCATTCATTTTATGGAAGCATCTTTAATCAGAATTTGCCGTATGAATTTCTCATTAAGCTGACATGCATATTCCAAGGGCTACATTTTGGTATTTAACTACAGGCAGAAAAGGAGGACACCTGTCTCAAGACTGGCAGGAAATGGTCAAGGAGGCATACTTCTGTTCAAGGCAGGGCAGCAGCTTGTGCCAAACTCTTAAAATCAAGAAGCACATCCTCTGCCAATTCCCCCGTGACACTGGCCAGGACATATATGAAGTAAGATTGAGCAGAACAGTATCTTTTGAATCTCCAGACTACAAACATTTTCTATTTGCTTTTGCTGTTCTCACGCATTTTCATGTTGAATGGGCCTTGAGTTCAGTGTTTGTTACCGAGAAATGTATCTGGATATTACATATTAATAAAGAAAATGTTCCCGAATTTTCTACTGGAATCTTCGTCTCTCAAAGGGGCCTGTGAGGTACATACTGTTCCATGGAGCTAATACATACCTAGAGGACTGTTTTTCTTCCTGTGATCGTCTAGAAAAAATACGCTTAAACTCTCATTGCACTTTTTCACTGGTTCAGTTCATAGCTGTAGACTGGAGCTATGGATACAAAATATTAGCTGTTAAACTGTCAAAACTTGTTGTAATAAGCAGCAGCAGCCATTACTTGAGGGACATTTAAGCAGGGTTTATTGAATACTTTTAAGGCATACAAAAGGATCTTTTCAAAGGAAAGGGATTTTTTTGGTTATATTTTCTAATTTTACATGATACTGGAAAAATCAAACTGAAACATGTCACATAGAATAAAACTCCTAATTAGGGCTCAACTGGCATTTCTGGTGATCCACCATCTCCTAAAATACAAGTCTGTTCACAGAATTTCGTTGGTATGAAATCTCTTCTTCTACCTTTGGCCGTGCTATTGGATATGCTAACTAATTGTGGCAGAAAAAGTCAAATACAGGGCAGCAAGGGTAGCTAAGTGTACAGTATGTTCCCTGTACAACTCAGGGCGTTGTATAGTGCGCTCTGAAGCTAGCTGCATTTTCAGAGCAGAATTTTAGATACCAATGTATATGTGCTGTCTTGGTCTAACACAGTCTTGATCCAGAGCTTAGGATTTAACTCTAGAAATTTCTTATTTATGACAGACTATATCCTGTCCCTATTTATGCCACTTAAATGTTAGGTTTTAACATGTTTCTGAGAAAGTTAGCACACAGAGTCAAAAGTTTGGCAAGTCCTGAAGAAATTTGTATTTGCCTGGTGGTTTAGAACTGGTCTATCTTCATGTGCACTTATAGAAAAAGTTGACTGTGTTTAACTTTTTCAGCAAGATGTGTTCTTGAGCAGACACCCTTTGACAACAATGGCTGGGAGTATTTGGACCATTTGGGTAATCCCTCACTTCCTGAGGAGTCTGACTGAGTGCGTGGCTAGGGGTACAGATACTGGCCCCTGGCCTGAACAACGATTAATGGAGTATTTGTGACATAGATACTAGAGAATGATAATATTTTAAAGGTACAGGCGTAGATATCAAAAAGGAAAAAAAAAAAGATTAAATATGACTTTAAAGCTCTACGCGAGATAATGATCAAAATGCTTCTATCATCTCCTTACCTGTGCCATTTTTAATTTTTTTTTTCTCTCCATGTTTGTCTGTCATGATGATCTTTGTTTCTAATTCCTTGCAGACATCTCAGTCAGTCTGTTAGCAGTAGTCGTCAGCTTCTGTGGGCTCGCCTTGCTGGTAGTCTCGCTTTTTGTCTTTTGGAAGTTGTGTTGGCCCTGCTGGAGAAGCAAACCTCTCACTTCCAATGCCAGTAATGTCCCTCAGAGCAACTCCAGTGCTCCTACGGAGGTGTTTGAGACCAGTGAGAAAAAGGAAGTTAAAGAAAATGGGAAACCTACAACAAAGGTACTTGAAGCTGCGTTGAAAATTAGCCACACTTCACCTGATATACCAGCAGAGGTCCAGAACGCACTGAAAGAACATCTGATCAGACATGCACGCATGCAGAGGCAGATCACTGAGCCCACATCGTCATCAAGGTAAGTCAGGGGCACTCGCGTTTGTGGCACGTTTCCTGGGAACAGGTAGAGCCAGGACACGCTGCTGAAAATTCCCAGGATCCTGGATTATTCACTGACTTCTTAGCAGTTATGGGTGAAACAGCAGTCACGTGAAGGCGAAGCCTCAGTGTCCTTTGAACAGAATATTCTGAAACGTATGGTGTACCTTCAGTTACGTCACTATTTTAACATATGAAGATCAAATCTATGTCTTCTACTACTTTGTAAAGACATATGTTACTACTTTAAGCATTTCCATTTTAGGTTTTGTGTATAGGAAAATCTCTTTCAGTGTTATTTTTTGAAATTACTGCAAGTCTGGCTTTTCACAGAGATATTTTTATAGATACAGCAGTTGCTTTTGCAGATGAAAGTTTCCCTCTCCACTAAATAAATGACAGATTTGTTGTTGATGGCACATTTCTTTAAGACGTGGTTTGCCACTTACAAAGGAATTAAAATCCCAGTCTAAGAATGTAGAACCTTATAGACTGATCTTAAAGCAGTACAGATTTTATATAGATCCTTAAATAAATGACAAGCATGTAGTATTGCTGAAATTATTTCTTTTGTGATAAAGTGAAGGACACAAAGTTTTATTTTCCCTCAGGAACTGCTTTATATTGAAAAGTAGTGAAGACGTGTGTAGTGACCTATAGTTCCAACCGAGGTTTTCTTCAAATGCTGTCAGCAAATTTAATGCACGGAAAACAAACAGTGAACCGCAAAGATCTCTTTCTATATCAGGAAAAAAAAAAAAAAAAAAAAAAAGGGGGAGCGGAATGTTTTATAAACAAAGAATAGGAAAATGAAGGCTAAAGGAGGCACCTGAAGTGTTGCATAATGACATAAGTAAGAATACAAATACTGTGTAGGAAGTAGCTTTCCCTCAATAAAACATTTGCTAAATGAACACATGCTACCAAAGCAAAAAAAAAAAAAAAGCTCACATTCACAATAATCGTTGGAAGCACAAGATTAGAGAAGACACGTGCTTTACATTTAGTGGGCACATACTTTGCTGGCCTTCTGTGAGTCCCTAAGACAGCGTTTTGCCAGCTCAGTGCGCTCATTGCGGTGGTGAGTGCTGAAGTCCTCTTTCCCAGCTATTCCAACAGCGTGGAACAGCCAACAGGCAACCACAGGAGGCTCACAAAAATGAGAGTGGTCCAGCCACAGGAGGTCTAACTGACTTTAGCAGCTGGACCGTCTCCTGGATCATGAGACTGTACAGCTGGCTTTAAGCCACATTGCCCTGGCTATGCCTGGCTCCAGCTACTGTATCTATCTGCTAAGAGAGGGAGCAGCACAGTATCCAACCCTGAGGAACATTTCCAGAATACTGGGAAGACAACTTTGAAATTGTAACTGTTATACTAAACACAGAGGGACCAAAATTGATACAGCTTAGCATGACAAGGACATTATACAACTCGCTATTACCTAATAGGGTATTAATTGGAAGAGTTTTATCTATCGTGTACCAACAGGTAAATCTGTAGGTGGTCAGACTGACTTCCTGAACAGACAGAAGAAAGAGCTGGCTGGCAAATGGGCTTGAATAGTCCCTGTGGTACTATAGGGGAAGAAAGAAGTTCCAGGGACGTGATCCAGAGCTACTTCAGGCTGTGAAAGTATTCCCACAGACCTCTAGAGTGATTTGGACTGGGGTCTAAATGCATATAAAATATCCGTGAAGCCAAGGACAGTTTTACAAAATTAAAACCTGCCATCGACCCTACTCTTTCTGCACATGTTGGTAACTTTGTAAGGGAGCTTTTTCTTTTTATCGTCTCTAGATTATCAGGGTTACATCTCTCCTGAGAGGGACAGTTCTTTTGCTTTGAGTAACGCTGGTTGTCCCACCTTAGCCAGTTCATGCAGGGTATTTGGAGACATCACCTTTCTTTACAGTTTGCTGAAAAACTCTGCACTCTTGCTACAAAACATGTTTAGAATGAGATGTGTCTTAAAAATCACCCAGAAATGGTCCTTTCTGCATTTGTAAATACATTTTTTCTATACACCTGCCTGCCTTAAGTGAGTCTTAACCTTCCCACAGCCCATAATAATTATTGCTGCCAAGAATATAATATATGAGATGAAGGCTGGCCATTTAGACCAGCTTTCTGGATTACTCCTTCTCCTTTGTGTCACAGAATATTGGATCACAAAATGACTAAAAACTGTCTCTGGTGTCCTTCACTGGGGACCTCTAAATAAAGCGGAGCCATTAGCAGACACAGAGGTAGCATAGCTTTCTCTTGCACCGTCTTTGACACAGCACTGCTTCGTTGTACTCAGGAGACCTGAGTGACCCAAATGAACCATCTTCTAACTGTATTCAGTTGACAAAGGATCTAAAAGAAATGTTTGCTGTCTGGATTGTCTCCTCAACACTGATCTCACCTGAGCTGGGGCAAAGAAAAGGGTTGTTACCAGTTCTGTGATAGATTCTTGCAGCCATCAGCTCTTAATAAAAGAAATAGAATCATATTAAGTCATTGTAATTGAAGCATGAGGATTTTAAGAAGCCATTCAGAGCAATAATAAAATGTGCCTGATCACTTTTTATAGACTGTACATT